AGTTCTTGACAGAGCCTGGTTCATTCCTGCTCAGGGTAGCAGGGAGCAAATACACCACTTTTCTGGGAAGGGCTCTGGTGTATCTGGGACTCAGATCATGCTCCACACTCTACCCAATCCTTCTTCAACTGTTTTCTTTTTTGACTTCATCTGCATATTTTTTAAGAGCCCTTGTAGCGTAGTGGGTTACAAGTTGGACTGCTAACCTTAAGGTCAGCAGTTAAAATCTAACAGCTGACTTGCAGCAGAAAGATGAGGCTTTATTCTCTGGTAAAGATTTATAGTCTCGAAAATCCTACATGTATACAGGGCTGCTGTGAGTTGGAACTGACTCTATGGCATACAACCACCACCATACATTTTTTTAATCTGGGTTAAGAAGAAGAAATTATACAAGAAATCGGATTTTATCCCCCGAAACAATTCTTGTCCCCAGCATTGCTATCCTCCTGCATGAAGCCTTTGCCAAGGCTAAATATGGTTTATTTACTGTTCCCAAACTTTTCTGCTTCTATAGGCTTTGTTGAAGACATTATTCCTTTCTAGAATGCTCTCTTCTTTACTTTGATCTAAAGTCTTCTTTCTTCCAAAGTTTGGCTTCTTCTTATATTGCATGAAGTCCTTTCCAGCCTCTCCCGTCCTCACTGGTCATTCTCATCTTAGAATTCCTTAAAACATACATTTTGTTCTTAGAGTTTATGACTTGTATTGTTGTTACTTCATTTACAAGGAGACTTCAAAAATGGAATGAAAAGATAATGGAATTTTTCCATGACCCTTTTGAAATTTCCTTGAGTATGTTTTATTTCTCTAGTCAAAATCATGAGCTTCCTGAGGGTAGGGAGCTTGTCTCTTTGTTAACCCCGTTGCAGCCCAGAGTATCCATTAAGAATAGGTGGTGTGCTTGTCTGGGGATATTCATCAGCTACATGCTCAAATTTATGATATAAGTAATTCTCAAAGTGAACACTGAGTGGCTACTAATTTGGTACCCCTGCTAGAGAGTAAGATCCCCTAAGAACTTGATTGAACCTCAGCATAGTGATCCTGCTTGGTCACCTTAGAGCAGGTGGTGGGCCGGCAACGTCGGGCGCATGGGGTCCCCAGCTGATCTCCTCCCTCCCCGTCTTCCTTGGATGGCGGCTGTTTATGCTGGACGTGTGGCCAGAGACGGGTAAGGATCATGTGGAACCTCGGCTACTTAAGACAGAGCCATTGCCATGCTGCAATGAGTCTCAATGACTGGTAAGACTGAGGAATTCTCACTGAACACCTAAGATAGGCAGCGTCCCTTAAACAATCAATAAATAAGGAGGATTCAGATGCAGACAGTGCAGACCCAGTCAGGAGGCCAAGCCCCTGAGGGCCCAAGCGTTGTTGACCGTCCAAACCATAGGCTCTGAGGATTAGACTTTAGCCACCTAGTAGACATAGCAGACTGTCCCTCATCTGATTATTCAGTAATGCTTGTTAGTAATCTCATACATGAGCCGTGGATATCCACAGACAAATGTAAAAACCTTCCCTAAAAGCTGAGACTGTAAATTCCAAAAAGGCAAGTTGCCCCCCCCATCCAAAAAAAAAAAAAAGCTAAAGAGGATAGAGAGAAACACTGTAAACTGATGATATATGGAGGGGATAATAATCAATGTAATGAAACAAGCTATATGAATGGTTGAATGTGAAGCTGATGATGTGCCCTGTAAACTTTCACTCAATGCAAAATAAAAACATTTAATCAAAAAAAAAAAAAATCCTAAGTAAATAAACATTTGTTTTATTTATTAAAAAAAAAAAAAAAAAGAATAGGTGGTGTGATTTTGTGATTTAGATCACACCTTAGTGTAAACAGCTGCTTCTTCCTTTACTTTTTTTTCAATTTGAATGTGTGCCTAGAAGACACAACGGTATATAGCTTATATTAGATTTTAGATTTATCAAAGAATGAGACTGGATCCTTGTTTGTTTCTATTATTTGTAGTCTCTCTTTTTGGGTGAACACTTTTATCTCATTTGAAAAACATGGTTTGGGTCAGCTACTGAAACAAACTGAATAGCTGTAATGCTTCTATTAAAAAATTTTGTATCTGGCTGATGATACTTTTATGGTATGGTGGTGTAGTGTGCCATGGAGTAGGTTCCGGCTCATAGCGACCCTGTGTAGGGTTTCCGAGGCTGTAATTCTTTATGGGAGCTGAAGGCGTCATCTTTCTCCTTCGTAACAGCTGGTAGTTTCGAACTGCTGACCTTGAGGTTAGCAGTCAGACTCGTAACCCCTATGCTACCACAGTCCAAATCAATTTATTAAATATCTACATAGGATTGTAGTCAAATTATTTTAAAATGGTTAACTATGAGATTCCTTAAGAAATACTTTAAAACTTTCTATAAACAAATATTTAGTTGTTAGTACTGCTCAGAGTATTTCTGTATATCAAATTATTAATTGTTTTAAAGTTTTCTATAATATTCAGACTAATTGATGCCTGTGTTTACTATTGTTACCAAATATTTATAAAGCACCCTTTCAGATACTGAGTCATTTTGAGATTTTTTTTGGAAGAGGGGCACATTTATAGAGCTGATTATTTTAGAAAAGCTCACCAGGAATACTATTAACTTCTGTTAATATTTGGAATTGTTCAAATTATAACTGTAACTGTGTCTTCTGGGCACATTTAGCTGAATATTTGATTGAATCCTATGATTGCATAAGCCAAAACAGTCACCCTACTTGATGACACCCTACTTGATTAGGAAAACTCTTATGAATCGGATTCTTTTGATGGTGTAAAGTCTGGCTTATAGTGCAATCCCCTAGCACCTCTAGTCGTCTAGCCGTGCAAACCCAGTACTTGTAGCTCAGCAGTTTGTCCTGTTGTTTTGTTTTTCCCCTACTTAAAAAAATTTGCATGATCTTTGATTTAGTAGCATAATTAAGCTGCAGATTGGAAGCAGAAGCCTCTAATTGCCATATACATACCTCTGTTGGCTTGTCCTGGTGGACCATTCTACCATGAGCTATAGGTCTTCCCCCAAAGTCTTGGAGAAACAGTGCTTTTTTTAAAAACTCATTTTTAACCTGTTAGCCAATGGACCAGCTTTGAACTTTTGTTTTCACTTTGTTTTTGTTTTTTTAAAAAACCAGTTGTCAATCACCAATTGTCTCATACTCTTCTCTGGGGTTACACTTATATTTAAAAGTAAAAACACCCTGATTTTCTTCACTTTTGTTTTCATATACCAGAATCTTTACAGTCAAGCTGTACTTCTAGATGCTGTATTGAAATTGCTGGCAGAGTCGACTCTATACAAACTGAACAGTCTGGCCCCTTGTTTTATTTATAAAGGTTCAATGTATCTATGCCTGCCTACTTCAGTCTGCAAGGGAGTGTCAGAAAGGCCCCGCGCTCGCCGAGCCGTGAGTTACCACTAACTTTTCAGATGTGTTAATGAATGTGGAACAGAAGCAGTTGTGTTGGAAAGGGAAAAAGGAGCAGCAAAAGTAACCATGATAGTAGCAGGCTTGCACACTTAATCATCATTCTCCATTGAGGTGTCAGGACTAACCTGCTTTAACTAGAGACTAACCTACAGAAAACCTATTGTTGAACTGCTCTGAAGCCTTGAGTTTACTGTCTCTGTTGATGGAATTTTATCTACACCAGTTGGTAGATTAAAATGGTTCCTAAGTCTTTGTAACCAAGTTAAAACAATTTGAACAAATCTTGCCCCACCTAAAAATGATAGTATTTTGTTTGCTAAAAGGAGACCATATGAAGAGGTAAAATAAGTTTAACCTTTTTTTATTATTCACATTTGAAATGATGAAAATTGGCTCACTTTCTTGATGGAAGTGTCTAGAGTGCTCCAAGCATCCTATGAAGTACGGAGGTATTTGCAGTGTTTTGTTGCCAACGGTAGGGTTTGCTTCAGTAATTTCACCAGTAGGTTTTCACTCATCAGTGATGACATCAAGGCTATTTCAAGGCTAAAATACAACACATGCCTTAGGACTTAGTATTCTACATAGAAAGAAGAAACACTCTCAGGAGTTATTTCTTTTGTTTTTATAAAGAGATTTTAAAAACAGTTTTAGCTAACATCCATATTTTGTTTGTTAAAGCTTAGTTACCTCCTTTCTTATTCGTAGATTCTTTAAAGTTTCAAGTAGATAGTCATATTTGATAAGCAGTTGGATGCTTCTGTTGCATAGGAGGTATATTGTATTTCGTAAACAGAGAATGAATGTCAGTGTACCAGTTGGGCATCGATAGCACAGACTACATACGATTTGGAGGTATGAGGCCTTGGGAGGCACTAAAGCGAAGGTGTCGTTTAGGCAGTGTGCCTTTGTTTGACTGGTGTGTAAGTCCTTCTTCCAGGTTTGTACACTTTTAAACCCGCTATTCTACCTTCTTAACTCCTCCCAGCAGCAAAAGGGAAACACTTCAGCTGGAACAAAATAGTGGAAGAAGTGGCGCCTGGGTTTCAGTGGGGACTCACAGTGTGTATGAAACGCTGCCAGATTACGTTCTTTGTTTTTCAATGAATGTCAATAACAACCCGATAAATCAATACTTATGTTGAAGGAAACACTGAATACCTATACGTAGAAAATCTTCTAATGGGTTTTCCACAGTGCACTAAACATCTTGGGGCCTCAGTTTCCTCGTCTGCACTATGAAGGAGTTGGACTCAGTAACTTTCAGGTCCACTCCTGCTCTAAAAGTCCTGTGCTTCTCTGTAGTACTCTGTTTCACAGAATGCATTGCTTCCCCACTTTGACGTTTTGAATTACATGTGCAGTTCACATACTGCAACTGCATGTTACCCAAAGCCCTTTTTTATAGATTGTTTGAGGGATTGATCCCTCAATCTGCTTTACCATTGTGTGCTTATAGAGCCACACAGAAAGGACTAGTGATAGTAGGACTCTCAGAAACTAAATGTTTCCCAGTGTTCTCACCTGGAATGTTACCAACTTTTCTATATTACAGGAGATACTACTCGGCAGCGCATCAAATTCAGTGATGACAGAGTATGCAAGAGTCACCTGCTCAACTGCTGCCCGCATGATGTCCTCTCTGGAACTGTACGTATCACCACCAAAGTTTACTGCTTGATATAATTGTCCCCTCTGGAATTATTACATACTATGGCTAGAGGGAGGGCTATTTGCATCCCAGTTTGTTTATTTATGCAAGTGGAGGATTTAAATTTGCAAGAATGGATTTTTTTTTTTTTTTTTTTAAAGGAGTGACTTTGTATTGCTTTAGAATTTCCCCCCCATTTTCCATAGTAGTTTAAAAAAGCATCTTGTATTTTGAATACAGAAATCATTATTGTGATATCCAGCATTTATTTGAACTTAGAAATCAGGAATAATATACTTGATTTTTAAAGTAGTTTCTCTTGCTTTCTTAGGCAAAGTAGACTTTTATCCAAAACAGTTGACGTTATTGTCAAGATGCCTGCATATTTATATGATTAAATTACAGTGGGGAAACAGCATTTTGGTATAAATACTTAAATTTGCATAGCTTAGTCTTGAAGTAATGTTGTCACTTCAAATTCATTTCTACTGCTGACTCCTAATAATTTAAAGGTCACTTATATAGATTCTGTGTTTTGAGACACATATTTCTAGAGGAGTATCATTTTAATTTGTAAGATAAGCCAGATGATGACTGATGACGAGTCTCTAATAGAACAGGATTCAGCCCCCTGACTTGGGGATTTGGTTGACTAACTACTGCAAACAGCTTCCCTTCAGTAGGTGATGATTGGGGGACTTTGGAGTGAGGGGTACAGCTAGCAGAAGCCAGACTTTGAGCGGGCTTCATTTCTGATTTGTCAGAAAGAATTGAAATGTAAGGAGATTTTTGACCTTTTCAGAAATGATGAGTCTCCTTAGCTTAAGTCATCTAAGTGCTGAGCTGAAATGATTCCTTCTTTGGAAGGAATTAAATGACGACATACTCCAAACAGATGAAATAGGACACACCTGTCTTTTTCCCAGTTTGAAAGGTAATTAAAACAATTAGGTTCGAAAGAACAAAAGAGCCCTCTCCCCTTTTTTTTCCAGCAGAATACATCATAAAGCAAGAAATTTGTTAGTTTCTGAGCTCTTGAATTAGGACTCTGAAGATGATAAGCTGATAATGAACCTTCATATCGACTTTTACATGAGTTTCCATCAAGTATTTTCTACTGTGCTGTGATGCTTTTGAAATCTGTAAAACCTTTTAATTATCGTTAGTATGTATTTGATTCTCCACATTCACATTTGATTTTGCTTTATTCTTTTGATAAAGAGTTGGTTTATTGACACATGGAATGAATAGTAGCCAGCTGACATCACAGTTTTACTTTACAGTTAGTTAGATACCTTTTCATTTAGTTCTCAAAACAATTCTGTGAAGTGTGTTGTCCACAGTTTACAGATAAGAAATTAGCTATGATTATATGACATGACTATTCAGAGTCACTCAGTTTTGTCGATTTAAAGTAAAACGAGGACCAAACCTCAACTTTCAGATCTTTGGTTTTGGTCAGCATGAGTTCTCCTCTGCAGAGAATGGTGAGTTCTTATTAAATAAAAAGGATGAATGTTTGGTTTTGGTCTTTCCTTCCTATAAAGTTCTCACTGATGGAATGGAAGGAGGATGCACATTTCCCTCACATTTTACCATCTCTGAACTGTGCATCTTAGAATTGATTTTTGGCAAAGCATTTATCTTAATTGGTAGCATTTTTTTTCTTTATGGTACAGAAAAAAATGGTGATGCCTGAAATTGATAATGACTTGAATTAGATAACAAACTGTTAAGGAAAAGGAAAGTACTTCAAGAGACACACTTATGGAAGGGGGGGGCACTGTCTTGAGACATTGTTAAAGATGGGGTGAACTATAGCAGTGATTCCCTCTGATTCCCTCTTGGAATGTAAGCAACTTATAGTGGACTGGCTGTAAGACTTAGTGAGACTCCTCCAAGTGTGACTTCTTGGGACCCTCACTTTTCCTAAGGAAGTCAACTGTATGACTGGTCCTCATGAAGCTGGCACTTCTAGCCACCCATGCAGAAGCAGTGCTTTTCTAGGATAGTGCTTGCTTCCTGTTTCCTTGTAACAAGAAGAATGAGAAGAACCGACTGCACCTGTTGATATTGTCGTGCTTTCTCTTTATAATCTAGAGGCCACACACCTGTTCTCCTGACCTCATTCCTCAGATTCGTCACTTGCAGCAGAATGGGACTTACTAGTATTCTAGATTATGTAGCAAAAGAATACACAGAAACGTATTCCTTGACTTTTCGTTTTAAAGAGATTAAATGTTCTATCAAGCACTTGGCTGTGGAGAATGTGTATTTAAAAATGTACTCCATATGACATTCTTGTAGAGTTCGGTTTGATGAAAATGCCTTACGACATTTCATTTTTCATTAACTCAGTGGAACTAAGTCTTGAGGTAAATGAATCAGAGGCAGAAAATGTAGCACAAGGGATGAGAAACGAGTGTGTTTTATAGCTGAGGAACTGACTATGCATCAGCGATATGGGTAGTTTTCCAATTCTCCTGGAATTTTGTTTGAGACTCACTCTTTTCTCCCTCTGGCACACTGGTTTTTCCCTGTCTGCTATGCAGACAATAGACAGCACTTTCTCAGAGAGGGACAAAACAGAAACCTCTGCAGTGATCACTTCTTTTGCAGGGCTTTATTTCTGGTGAGTAGCTTTCACAGGAAAGATGAGGATAATGAAGTGTCTTAAAAAGTCTTTCTCTCTCATTCCTAGTGTTCTGGAAGAAAAATCATGATGGCAGTAATTCACAGAAGGCATTTGCCTTTGTCATCTAAAGCTGCTGTAACAAATGCCACAAGTGGGTGACTGTAACCGTCTCTCATGCCACTATAGCAGAAAGACCACAAAGCGGTGACTTTCAAAGCAAATGTGTTTTTTCACAATTTAGGAAACGAGGAGTCCAAAATCTAGGAGAAGAACTCTGTCAACTTAGAGGAAGGTCCTTGTCTCTTCAGCATCTGCTTCAAACTCACTCTCTTCCATTGAGTTGATTCTGACTTGTGGTGGTGGTGGTGATGTGCCGTGGAGTTGGTTTTGACTCAGAGTGACCCTGTAAGGGTTAACAAGGCTGTAAATCTTTATGGGAGCAGAACGTCTCATCTTTCTCCCGTGGAATAGCTGGTAATTTCTAACTGCTGACCTTGAGGTTAGCAACCGAATTCGTAACGAATATAGAGTATCCAAGGTTTTAAAACCTTATCTTTTTCATGCAGAGTGGCTGGTGGTGGGCTCGAGCTACTGACTTTGCAGTGATGTCCAGTGCTCATCCTACATTGCCACCAGGGCACCTTTTGGCATCCACCAGTAGGCTTCAAAGAGTCCATGGAAAAATGGAAGCACTTCTTATATTATCCCTTCTGTTTCCTTCAACTTGTTATTCTCTTATACTCAAAGAGATTGACTCAAGACTACTCTAATGGAACCCTGTCTCAGTAACATAACAAAGACAACCCATTCCCAAATGGGGCTTTAAACACAGCGTAAAATCAGAATCAGAGATGGTCACCAAAACACCACTGCCACTGAGTTAATTCCAACTCATAGCAATCCTTTACTGGATTTATGTGACTGTAAATCTTTATGGGAGCAGGCAACCTCATCTTTTTCTCCTACGGACCAGCAGGTGGGTTTGAGCCACTGACTTTGCTTTTAGCTGCCCAACATCTAACTCATGGTGCCACCAGGGTTCCTTAGGGATGTTCACAGGATCCTGAAACTGAGATCTGCATTCCTGGAAATGTATACTCTTTGCAGATGCCTCCCAAACTCAGACATTGCCACTAGTAATTTTATTGTAGCCCTCCCTCATCAGAGAATATAATTTTAGTGTTGAAGTGCCCCCAGACACTCAGCATTTTCTAGACAAAGGCCATTCGTTTTACAGGTGGGGAAAATGAAGGCACAGGAATATTGTGCTTGTCAAATGTTTCACAATGGTAGGTTCACAGAGGGTTCTGGAAACACCCTGCCAGAATCACAGGTTTACTTAAGTAAATCTAAATACTATCGAAAGTATGGGGGTTTTGGTCATCTTTAAGATAACACATTGGAAGTGACTTTGAGACACTCTGGCTTCTTGGAGATATCTCAGGGACTTGTCATGTGGAACTAGGCCAGTCTCTTCTTTTGCCACTAAAATTTTACATGTAATCATTTTCTATAAAGTTTTGTGTGAAAATGTAGCTCTGCTGCTCAAAAAGGGGAGATTTCAGAAAACATCTCAAAATGCCATATTTTTAATGCAAATAGCACAAGCGATACACTTTTTGTAACCCTTCACACATTCGTTTCCTAGGAGTGTAATGTGCATGTGTCTGTTATGTATGTGGGTGCGTTATTTGTGAGAACATGACATTGGAGACAGGCTTAGGAATTTTGACATTATTAAACGCATTATTAAAAGTTCATCTTCCTTTTTTGAAGGGATTAGAGGAGAGTATTGGTTACTCACAAGTTCTCAGTGACTTGATTTTATGTTGTCCCAGTAGGTTCTGGGTTTTATCCAAGTATCATTTTTACTAATTGAAACTCTTTATTGCTTCTCTTGACTTTCTATTAAGGCTTGGTCTAAAGTCAGTTTATTGGGTAAACACAAAGCTGAATGTTAAAACTGCTGAAGTCTCTTTGATAGTACATACGCAAAAGAACCATCAGCACATGGAGAAACAGAATAAGTGATAAGAAGTAGACCTGCACAAAATGCCCTCCACCAGCCACCACCATGTAAGTTTCACGAGGGCAGGGACCTGGTTTTTATTGGTGCTGTATTCTAGTGTTGGCACCTGCAGCAGAGCTTCTGACTGGCTGATCTGTCTGAAAGCAGAGTGCTAAATAAAGCTGGTATCAAACAGAGCTTTAGACATGAATGGTTATTCATAGATGAGGAGCCATAGAGCATGTTACTTTTGTTAAAATAGGTCAGCAGTTGCAAATATGCACAAATGAGATTGTGGATTCTTTTATGTGTAAATAATATCTTCCTCAGAAATGGTGTTGGGGGCTACTTTGGTA